GACGTTCAAGGTGCTTTTTCCTGTATGAGGAGACGAGTTACAGGTTTGGTGATGCTCAGCCGCCGGCAGAGACGCTGCTACCCTGTGTTAAGCCAAGTCGAGCATTTCACAGGAAAGCTGGTGCTGGCCAACCTTGACGTGCAACTGAGGTCTTGACTCCCTTTTTATCTAGCCTGTACCGGAAGCAGATTTTCTTTCCAGATCTCCAATACTACTACTGGGAAATGGTGTTTATAAAAGGAATAAAGTTTGTACGTGCCAGAACAGGAGTCAGAGTAAATGCTATATTATAAAGACTGCTCCTTGGTTAAACGATTCGTTCTGGACTTAAAAAAAGCCTTAAGAGTTAAGTGAAATGACTAAGAAAATATTTTCAAGCACTCAATTATGTGACCAAAAATAGGAAATGTGGGGTTTGTATTTAAAGAAAAAACACTGGTGTGGATTGTGTTTAAGTTGCAGTAGAGTTTAAAAGAGCACAGAAGAGTGAGCAAGCTGGAGAGGATGGTGTGAGCCGGCAGCACCTGAAAAGGACTGGAAGGAAGCGTTAACCCCGGAGGAGGGCAGAGCTGCAGGGAGATTTCGCTGCCTGTGCAGTTCAGTTTGAGTGGGAAGTTACAATAAAAATGCGTGCTCTCTTACTGTGGCCCCATAAAAGAATGAAAAAACCATGAATGAAATGAACAACAAAAATGCAATTTTGATGTGATGAGATTTTAACGTTGCACTGTAACATACCACCTCTCTTCTTTTTTTTTTCTTCCCAGGGTTTCTACATCTATTGTAAAACTGTTTCAAATTAATCTATCAACGGGACATTTACTTTCTATTTCCTGGCATCAACAAGGCCATGAGCATGAATCGAGGGCATGACAGGAACCTCACAGGGTTCCAGCAAGGCAAAGGTGAAGCCCTGCAGTGGGCGCTGAATTAACCCTGTGCAGCTGGGGCAAGGGCTGGGTGTGGAGCAGCTCTGCAGAAGGTGGAGGTGTCCCACCCCCTCCCAGGTGCCTGCAGGAGAGCACACGGAGCAGGGACACGGGTTGCCATCTCTCCCCTCTGCTCGGTGCTTCCGAGGCTGCAGCGGGAGCCCTGTGACCAGTTCTGGGCTCCTGAAGCCGTGATCTATGTGGGAAGAAGCCCAGTGGAGGCCACCAAGATGGGGAGCAGGGGAGCCATGGGGCTGGGCAGCAGGGTCTGTTCAGCTTGGAGAATGGGAGGGAAATCTTTACTCCAGCTGTGTAATGGAGAGGCATAGAGAAGATGGAGCCAGGCTTATTTTAGCGGGACAGAGTAACGAGGAAGCCTTGTCTAATCAGCATGTGCAAGTGTTGTGCCATACTGCTAATAAAACCAGCATGACTCCATACTGTCCTGTGGTACTTAATTACTCTCCCCACACTGTGCAGCCATTGGGCGTTCCTGGTGACCCTTCTGTTTTGGGGAGGGTGAATGCCTGGGGGGGTTGTGCGGGGTGATGCTCACTTGTGCTTTAGGGATCTTTGTCCTGCTGTTCACAGGCATACAACTCCTCAATGTTAAGACAGTAGAGCTGACAGATCCAGGAAGGCAAGGGAACTGCCAAACGCTTGCACACTTCCCGTGCAAACCTTTCCAGACAGATGTTGCAATGAGCCTGGTAAAGCCTTTTTTTTTAAAAAAAAAAAAAAAAAAGATAAATATGCCTGTAAGCACAGCCTTTGCAGGCTGGGGCTGGGGCTGTTGCTGTTTGTGGCAGGGGTAGCAGCTTTGCCTCTGTACTAGGGATGACTGCTCAGTGTAAGACGGGCAACTGCTGTAACAGGCCTGAGGGGGCAGGATCAATGTCACTGCATGGGTAACACTGTCAGGGGGCTCCCTGGGTCCAGTGACAATGTCTTCACTTCCATACACGTGGCTTTAGTCAGCCTAAAAGCCAGAGCTGTGCCTCAGAGTGGCATGCAGGTGAGAGGAGTAGGCCCTGCTACAGTCTGACCCCTCTACTATAAAATAGTTGATTTGAAATTCAAAAGAACCATTTTCTGCCTGGTCCCTTCTTCCTGGCTGTTGTTGAGGTGTGTGAGATTTTATTTTTTCAAGAGACCCTGTTTTAACCTTAATTTTTACTGCTTCCTCAGTCCTGCTCACATTTGCATCCTATGGTCTATTGTCTGCTTTTGGTATTTTCTTTTTATTAACCCTTGTCTTTGCCTGTCCCGCAAATATTTTAAGACGGGTTCAGAATCTGAAAAAATATTTTCCCCACTTGTGTGGGACACAGAAAAGCTGAGGAATGTTGCAGTGTCAGGATTCAGTGATGGGTGTGCAATGCATGCCCATGCTGCACCAGCAGCTTAGAAAAATGCCGTCCTTAATAGTTCTTTTGCATTCTTAAAAGGTAACGCTCCATGATGGTGGCACAGCAGTGCCACAGCAGTGCCACAACAGCTCCCTGTTG